GATCCAGAAAGCATAGCTTATATTATCACTATCAAAGGTGTGTGGAGTGTAATAAAAATGGATTTTTGAAAGAAATGCCACCGACAGTTCGGCACTATGGAGAATATTTTCGACTCTTATTTTTGTGAATTTATGCGACACCAGCAGTATACAGATTCTAGTTCAGATAATTTTAGAAAGTTTGGGGATGCTGTTAAGGAATTTTGTGTGCCACAGACTGAAGACACAGAAATTTCTAAATAAGATAAGTCGATATTTCTTTCTTGTAGTGCATAGATGAGATGTGTATTTTCTTTTTTATGTTATTTCACTGTTTGATTTAAAATCCAATTTATCGAGATTATATATATATTTTTTTTAATTATGTTTATTGCATTATGCTTTGGATTCCATTTTACTAGGGAGAGCATTGCACGTAAGCAGGAATGGTGCAAAAAAAATCGCCAAGGGGTACCTTGAAATATATTTTTACCAAAAAGGGAAAATAAAATATTCGATGAAAGTGTAGGGATTTCAGATTTTTTAATTGATGAATATACTGAAATATTTTCAGATTTTGATGAACACAGTTCTGCTATGAAACTGGTATTCAAACCACATTCAGTAGATATAATCGAAATTTCTATGGAACTAAAAATGAAGTCATTTTAGTTGTAGGATGCTAAAAATTTATTATTATTATTTTTTTAATGATTAACAATCACATATATTTAAATAACACTTCAAATAAAAATAAGGTACTTGCGTATTAACAAAACCAGGCCAAAATTCGCATAAATTGCCAAATTTGGCGACCCTACTTACGGCAACCCTACGTGTGTGGAAATAGACGAAAGTTTATTTTTTAAAAAGAAAAAATAACACTGGGCATGTACTAGCACAGCAATGGGTTTTCGTCGGAATTTGCCGAGAAAAGAAAGGGACTTTTTTGGTTACTGTACCTAACAGAAGCGTCGTTACCCTCATGGAAAAAATTTGCGAAAATATCAAGGAAGGAAGCATCATTTATTCGGATTGCTGGAAAGGATACAATACAAGTGAGTTCGAAAATGCTGGATTTCTGCATGGAACTGTTAATCACAAATATAACTTTGTGGATCCCAACACGGGCGTTCACACACAACATGTAGAGCGCACGTGGGGCTCAGCCAAATGGCGCAACAAAAAACAGAGAGGAACAGCCCGTCATCATCTTGACTCATACCTTATCGAATTTATGTGGCGCCAAGCTGAAGCTGTTAATGGCGAAGACGGTTTTCAATCAGTGCTAAAAGCAATAGCCAAAAGATTTCCGCTGAAAAAATAATTCTGCAACTTATTCAAATTCGAAACCGGAAGTGTTTAATTGCTATTTTATATTTTAAAACAAAATAATATAAAAAACTGTATTAAAAATTATCTGTAATTAATAAATGTACATTTTCTTTCTATTCATACTTTTTTACTCAAACTTACAAATCGCGCCAACCTGGTTGCGATAATACGTAAGTACCAAAAATAATAAAGTAATTTTAAATAAAATAAAAATAATAGTAACTTATAAGAAACTAACATAGCAAGAATACATGGAATAATTTCAAAATCCCATGAAAAATTTAATTCAGCTGGATATTTGCATTTGTTTCTTCCTTGAAAGTAATTGAATTTTTGGATCAAGCTTTGTAACGTACACTCTTAATTGATCCTCTATATGAGCATCTCTAATTTGTGTTCTTAAAACTAATTTTAATTTTCGTCATGAGAGAAAATGCTGACTCACAGCAGTAAGTACTACCATAGCAGGAAAATAAATTGCATGTGTGCTGTCATAGGCATGGATATTCAACAGCACTTTTCCAGGCTTCTATGGCGCCATATAAATTCGATAAGGTATGAGTCAAGATGATGACGGGCTGTTCCTCTCTGTTTTTTGTTGCGCCATTTGGCTGAGCCCCACGTGCGCTCTACATGTTGTGTGTGAACGCCCGTGTTGGGATCCACAAAGTTATATTTGTGATTAACAGTTCCATGCAGAAATCCAGCATTTTCGAACTCACTTGTATTGTATCCTTTCCAGCAATCCGAATAAATGATGCTTCCTTCCTTGATATTTTCGCAAATTTTTTCCATGAGGGTAACGGCGCTTCTGTTAGGTACAGTAACCAAAAAAGTCTCTTTCTTTTCTCGGAAAATTCCGACGAAAACCCATTGCTGTGCTAGTACACGCCCAGTGTTATTTTTTCTTTTTACAAATAAACTTTCATCTATTTCCTCACACGTAGGGTTGCCGTAAGTAGGGTCACCAAATTTGGCGATTTATGCGAATTTTGGCCTGGTTGTGTTAATACACAAGTACCTTATTTTTATTTGAAGTGTTATTTAAATATATGTGATTGTTAATCATTAAAAAAATAATAATAATAAATTATTAATTATTTATTAGAATGTTTAATTATTTCTTAAAAATAATTAAACATTCATATTATAAAAAGTTATTTACAGGAATATAAGTTACTACAGAAATATAAAAATATTTCATATTGTAACATTTTATATTAAATACTAAATAAAAGACTTCATGTTTTTCGTATTATTTCCATATAATGAAATAAATTGATGAAACTCTGAAAAACCTATAATAATTTTGCATTTGTATGTACAAGATATATGGCCTCCTTTTATTACTATCTAATTTAAATTTGGCCTCTAATGGTAAAAAGTTTCCCCACCTTTGCTCATGGACTTTATAAGAAATAAACTAACCCAAACGGGTTTTCTCCCTCGTCTGAGGCGTTGCCGACTGTCACCTTGATCACATCCGGAGGAGTAGGGACGTCTTGCAGAAATTTAACATAGGTTACCTATTGCAGCGTGTGTAATTGTCAAGAAAAAGCTGGTTGTAGCGCCTCATTTCACAAATTAGAATTTCTACATATTTTTATTTTTGAAATTGAGATTGATTTTTAAAAATTTAGCATATTTTTCATGCATAATTAACGTTCCAAATAATTATAAAGCTGTTGCATGCTTTCAGGACTGGATATTTTTTTAGCTTTTCCTATGCTGTAAGGAAATTTGTAACTACTTCTTTTAGAAAACAATATTTTAAATCTGAACTAATAAAAAATTTCAAACAAGCAATTTTCTCTTGCAATTTTTATGCTTTTTATTGGTGTAAATAAGTAAAAAATACTAAAATATTTAAAAACGAATTTTTGAAAGTTTTGTTTAAAATTCTAAATTGTACTATTTTTTTTTTAAATTATAGATGAGTATTATAGCACAATTTCTATATAGGAATTTTATTTCAATTATATTTCATAATACATCATAGCAATAAACACTTTTGACTCCTTAAAAATTTTTATACATTTAATTCTAATATTAAAATTGTATTTAACCGTAATAATTAAATTTGCTTGTATTTTAAAGTGATTATTTTTTAAATTTATTTTTAGTTCTGCATAAGATTTTTTTTTTATTTACTATTTCGAAGCGGCCTAGAAAGGCTGTTAGTTTCGAAGCAGCATTTTGCGCTGTTTTACATTAAATGTCCGTATCTCCTTGCAACTTGTTACCAAATATTATCGCCGTATATTATATGTAAAGATATTTAATAATGAAGAATCTGCATGAATACATGTATTTTTCTTGGACTGTGACAAAAACGATAGTATCTAGAGCCATCAAATTTTAAATAATGTAATCCTCCACCCGAACATGGGCATCTGGACAGCCGAATTTCGAATTTGTTTTAATCTATTTCATATTTTGTAAAACTTTAACGAATTTTTGATTAACAAACTCAACAAGTTCAAAGCGAGCACTGTACGGAAAATAACAGTTTTATCTCCAGTGCGAAAATTCTAAAGATATGCTGTTTTCAAATGTATGTGGTTTACGGGCGAAGAACATGATATTCAATAAATATAAGTAACACACAAAACTTTAAAAAAAGATTCCTTTTGGGCGTAATATAAAATGAGAGCTTCTAGATTTTATTTTATCTTTTTTTTCCTTCATTACGCTCAGAAAATTTTATGCTCCGAATTTTATGAATTATTAAAATAACTAACCCACTTTAATGTTAATAATTTAATGATCATGTAATCAAATAAATATGATCATTTTGTAATTTTATTATCACTGCCTGAAATCACTGGGAAAATCACTGCCTGAAAATGTTCATTAAATTAAAAACAAATTAACAGATCTTGTTTAATTTTACATTATTTATTTCAAAGCATCGCATACTATCAATCTTATTTAATTTTACTTTATTTTTACGCAAAATTAAGTTCATGAATTTTAGGCTTAGAGTTTTTACCATTTTACCAAAGTAAAGACGTTTGTACAAGAATTATGCGTGAAAAAAATGCGCGAAATGCAGTAAAAACTGCTTTAATGAGATATATTAAATCCTATTTGGAAAAAACTGTGGCTTTCATAATCTCATCACTATATCACATTTAATAATTAAAAAGAGTTATGTGATACAAACGCCATAGGTTTCAGTGTTAAAGTAAACCAGATCATCCCTACTCTTTCTTGCTGGTGACGCGCGCCCCGCCCACTGGGTTAGTCTATCTCTTATAAGGTCCATGCCTTTGCTCTAGACTATAAATTATGGTGATAAACAAGAGATGTCATTATTACAATTTGATGCAATTATTATCCCAGACTATAGATTATGATGATAAATAAAAGATGTTTCTGTAGGTTTAAGCACTTGCAGAAAATTATAAGAATTTCAAAATCTTAAATTTTATTCATTTTTTTAAACTTTGCATTAAGCGTTATTATTGCTTTCGTCCTCAGTAAATTAACTATCAATGAAGCACTCAACTATGAAATTTCTTAATAAAATCGAAATTTTGATCTTAAACATGAAATCATTTTCACTTTTGACATTATTGTCACAAATTATACAATTGTTCCATCACAATTAAAATATAATTTTAAATAAACCAGCAAACTACATAAAACTTTTATGACTACTAAAATATATTTTGATAACTTACCCTCTACCAACACCTGCAACATATCCTAGTGGTGCAGGAACACCAATAAAGTGTTTCTTCTTCTGACTGACTAATGTACTGGGTGCTGCTGTAGCCATGTCTGAAAAGAGTTTTATTGCATTTTAATTTCAAATGATAAACCATAAATAATATAATTTCTCATTGGTCTGAGGCAATACCTGTACAGGATATCACGCCTGAAATATTCACTCGCATATTCATTACACATTAGAGTGCAAGATTCAGATTTCCAAAAATTATTAACTAAAGACCAAGGGTGATAATCTGAGTTTTACTCAATTTTCTCACTCAAAATTTTAGGAATTTGCTGCACTCAAACTTCCCTACATCTAGCAATTGATTAGTTAAATGGTTTCCTTGAATCCTTAAGCAGACCAAAGTGTCATAACAATACATGCTGGACAGAAAACTTACTGGCTGTCCTTCTAGCCTCCACACAGCATTCAAAGAGGACCCAGTTGCTACTTATTATGAGATGCTCTACGAAACATCATTATCCTTACCAGGAGAATCCTTACAATCCTCTAACCACCTATTGCAGACAAAGCCTGCAGGTTTCTTCAGCATCTGTGCGATACCATGCTAGAATTATCTCCAACTTATTTTTCTCACAAATTAAACACTCTTGTTTTGTACACCCCACCTTAGAGACTTACCCTCAGGTTTTTGTGCGCAATGACACAGTAAAAACACCACTGACTCAGTTGTATAATGGTTCCTATTACATTACTAAAACAGACTGGTAAACACTTTGCCATTCTGATAAATAGAAAAGAATCTGTTACTGGAATTGAGGCCAGCCTTCACTACTCAATATGACATACCAACTACTCCAGTTACTCCTAGTGACAGTTCACCAACGACTCCGGTTATTTCTTTTAACAGTTCACTAACCCCACCTACCAGCTCAGTGGAATCACCGAACTACCAGTGTTCTTACCGTTTAACCACTAGTGGGTCCTCGAATTCTAAACAGAAAATGATAAATTAGCAAATAGACCTAAATGCTCACTTGTGGTTATTCTACAACTACCCTGAAGTTATCAAAACTCCTTCACATTCTTTGGACTTAGCCTATGGAACATTTATGGTTATTACTCTTATATACGCCCTCAGGACACTGCACTGGTTTTTGGCACGACTATGTGTTCTGAGATGGTTTTAGCACGATGTTGTTTGTATGGCAACTCTTTTAACATTGAAACTTGATTTTGCTGTAGTGGTTTTATTTATTGGTTGGTTTGGTGGGCGTTTTGAAATGGCTTATGTCTGTCAGCCAAGTTTTAGACTTGAATCGTGGTTTTCGTGTAGTAAGTTAACTTTGGAGGAAGTTTTTATCGTTACTTTTGAAATTTTGAATCGCAGAAAGACGTGTGATATAGAAAAATCATGGCACTTTTATTTACAGATGTGTGACTGGCAAAATTTTATTCACAAATGTATGCTGGACTTTGCATGCTCTGTGTCTCAGAAGATTAAAGGGAAGGATAAAGTGGTGGAAATTGATGAGTTTTGGCTGATATTTGAAATTGATATTTCTGCAGTTTGAAGAAGCATGCACAATGGTAAGCAAGTTTTATTTTATTCTTCTTGTTATTTTGTAGAATGTTACGTTCATTGTCTTTTTGCTATCAATTTCTGTCGCTATTATTGTTTTTTGAATCGTTTGTAAGTTATTAGTTATTTTAGTTTGTGTTTGTTTGATTTGTGTTCAGTTTGTGCATTTTGTTCATTTGTGTACAATACCGAGGCTGTGTGGGATGCCTAGATTGTGCAATTTGCTGATTTTTTTAAAGTTAAAACAGAACGCTGTGTACATCGTACTGTTTTAAATTTATTGTTGTTATGTTAGTATATTTTAGCGAGGTGTGTGTGTGATTCCTAGATTTTTTTTGCTGTATAGATTGTGCAATTTTCTGATTTTTTTTAAGTTAAAACAGTTTGCTGTGTACATGGATTATCGTCAAATATTGTTGGTTAGAAACTTTACATTTTTGCTGTCTAAATTTTTTGTTTTTGTTTCGGATTTTTGGCATAAATTTTGTGTTAAAAAAGTGGTTTTTGCACGTGTGAAAAATGCATTTTTTCAGATATTTTAGGCTTAAACTCGAAATGTAGACAAAAAATTTAGATCGTGATATGGCGACATGTAGTTTCTCGCCAAACATTTTTGGCGAGAAATTCGTCGCAAACCTAGGGCATATATAAGAGTAGTTCGCATTTATGAAGTGAATTGGAGAAAAGAATAATCAAACACAGGGTTGCCACTCAAAGAGGAGAATGAAGTTCCCTGACTTTTCCAGGTTTTCCAGGTCTGTTGTGAGAAAATTCTAGTCTGTCTGCATAGTGCACGTTGGCTACACTGAGAGGTAAATTAATTATGGTACTACTTGAAAACACAAAAATTTGCCAATTGCATATCACTCATTATATATATAATCCCGAAAGCATTACTGTTGTAGCTATAATGGGAGTTGTTTTCTCCACTGAAGATTGAGATTAGAAACTGGCCCAAATAGATTAAAAAATGAGTTTTTTTTTTTTTTTTTCCCAGACATTTTGCAGCTAAACGAAAGAAAGAAATCTATTTAATGATATTTTAAAATAAATTCAGGTATTTTATATTTATTTAGCAGCATACATAAGCAAAAATATGTGCATTAAATTTTGTGATAGTATGTCATCATACTGCTGGATATAGTTTCAGAATTATGCCAGAGAAATTTGCTTGAAATTTGAAAGTATTATTAACTAATAATAAATAAATTTAAAGGAAAGAAGAACATTAAATGATATAAATAACATTAAAATGAAGTTAATTGCTTAAAAATTGAATTACAATAATCAATAATATTTTCGCAAATATAGTCATATTTAAACGTTAGCCTAGATGATTAATTACTATTTTTTTATTTTTCTGCAAAATGAAAAATAAGGCATTTATTAAAATGAAAAAAAAAAGTTTAAAAGATTTTGAGACAGACAGAGGTAACTGTTGTTACTGCTCATCATAATGTCGCCAAATCCCGTAAGTATTGTACATGGAGGTTAGAATTAAAAAAAAATATGTATTGTTAAGATAAAAAAAAACTTCTCTGCAACAGGAATGGCTCCGTCCCAATGTAGAGGGAAACAGGTGCACATGTGTGAAATATTTGTCACCACGGCTCGCAAAGTTCGAAGGTCAAGTTTATCAAGAGTACATATACAGTCAAAAGTCGTTAATTCGGACACCCATAATTCGGAATCTATAATCCGGACCTCAAAGCTACAAACTTTCTGCGCAGGCGCCGCGTTGACGCATGCGCGTAAGACCAGTATGGCTGCGAATATATGTGTGTGCATGCGCAAAATACGTTTACGCATGTGCGTTTAATGTATAACGGACGGTATAAACTAAGCTAAAATTATCTAATTCAATTAATGTTGCAGATTGCGTTGTTCCTTAATCTTCAAATGGGATCCGGCTTATTATTTTTTGCAGACTGTTAGAGCAATTTTATAAAAGTAAGCTTGAATTTTCGATTATGTAAAATAGAATTTCCGATATATATTTACTAATATGTAAAGGATCTACAAAGTGAAAGTATGTTTCGAAGTCCATTAAACAAAAAGTGAAATTGCTGCAAAAAATGGATAAAGGCATATCCTTTGTTTATCGAACCATTCCGAAATCTGTTTATTAATTTCACGCTGCTCTGCAGCAGGAAGGGGGAACGCCGCGGCGCGCAATGAATTGGAAGTTGATCTGTCAGCACTATCCTTATCTTCAGTGCAGATGTTTTTATTTTATTTGGCTTATAATTACTTACTAAATGTAGTATTTCATCTCGATGTTCTCCGTCTTTGATATGATTTAAATCAAATTCCTCGTATTATAATTCGCTTCTGATAGCGAAGAAAGTGACACAGAGGTTATTGAAAACGAAAAAATTTCGACTGACAAGTTAGTCGGTATTCTCGACACAGCAATTATAAGACTTGAACAGCGGAACTTTGTAACTGAACAAGAAATTATGTCTGTTTATAGAATTAAAGAAAGAGAAGTATTATCACATAAAAAACGGAGCAACTTAAACAACTTACATTGAAAGAAATGTTTAATAAAGTAAACAAATAAATATTAAGCTTTTTTTTTGTAAATTTTGATACCCTTTAGATCATAATTGTTCTTTATTTCATAAATTACGGTTTCATATTTTTAATTTTATAATTTCTGCATGCCATCTTACCAGATTTAAACTGATGATCTATAATCCGGAAAAATTGATAATCCGGAATCGCCGAAGTCCCGACGAGTCCAGATTAACAACTTTTGACTGTAATGGATATCATTTTAAATTTCTTTCAACTTTAAAGGAAAAGAAAATATTTTTTCGTGCAAGTAAATTAATTAATAGATTAGTTATTTTGAGCAAAAAAAGTACGAAAATCTGAGTATAAATTATCGCGAAAGTCAAAGAACGTTTCTTCTTAACACATGCTCCACAATTTCCTGTACACATTGACGGCGAGAATTGCGGGAAATTCTCGCCGTCAGGTTCCGTCACCAAATCCCTTGGCGAGTTTTCCCTTCTACTTTCTAGCGGCACTATAGCAAACTGATTTACATTACGTCTATGAAACCTTTGGCTAATCTTTAGAATATGGTAACAGGTAGTTTGGCGACATTTTGGTAAGGCGATAAAGGTTACTAGGTAGGACTTTAGCAATAATCTGAGAAATACACAGTTCGAATCACAGATTATTTTGTCTCAGAGAAATGAGAGATCATGAGACATGTCATGTGACATTTTCCGGAAAATTCCGATCGTGATTTTAGCTAATAAGCACTTAGAAACAATTTCGCTGCTAAAGTGCAGAATCACCCACTTATTTGTTTGGCGCTTTTTACAAGAGTAAGAAGAATTAGATTTTTGTCAATTTTCTTTGACTTTTTAAGTGAAAATAGGTCGATGTGTACATAGATAAAGTCAAGAGTGTGCGCAATGCCATTTTTGTGCAATTCTGGGATTTTTTTTAAGTGAAAATAGGTCGATGTGTACATGGATACCGTGTATGTGCGATTCTTAAAAACGCGGGAAGTGGTTTGCGATTCTGCACTTTCTCCCAATTTCGCACCTAATCTTCGTCATGATTAAGCATTTATGTTCCATAAAAGTTCTAGTATAAACGTAATTCGGCTAGCAGATTGCTAGAAAAAATGTTGAGTTAAAAAAAAAAAAAATGCCTTTACTTCATGAAAACAAAATGGCGTCCAAAACAAAACTAGCAGGTTGCTGTAGCAGGGTTGGTCGCCAAATTTTCGCCAAAAAATTGCCAAGTTACCATAATGTAAAGATTCACCGAACCTTTCTTTCTTTACATGGACGTTCTTACATTAGAACAGAGTACATGGAGGCTAGAATAGCCTCCATAGTACCATATATTCGGATTAAACCGATTTTGTTTTATATGAGAATGGGAAGGTATTTTCTTTAGTTCAAAATGCACTTCATATGCGAGTCTTAGGATTCATGAAGTTGCTGGAAATCAAACTTGCCAGAAACTTACTTTGCCTTTCTAAAAAACAATCTGATCAGAGCTGCACAAATTGGCTCTATGCCAGCTGCCTGAATGACACGCATCTGATACATAATTTGCCAACAAAGTGATCGCTTCCAACGTTGGCGCAAAATTCGTTTTTTGGGGGATTGCCATATGACATTCCCTGACTTTTCCAGATTTTGACTAAAATATTTAAATTCCCTGACTATTTTGGTCAATTTTCGAATTCCCTGACTTTTTCTGGTTTTCCAGGTAGCGTGGCAATCCTGCAAACATGACATGTCTTGAAAAGCTCTAATAAAAGCGATTCCTATGGAAAAATTGAACACTCGTAATTGAAAAATTTAGTTAAATCCACACCAAAGCAAATGAAGTTTAGCTAAAGGATATCTAACAAAGTATTGGATGTCCCATTATTTTCATACTTTTATTAAATATAAACTGCTTGTTCAAAGTGTCTGAATATTTAAGCACGTTTCTTTTAAGGACATTTCAAATAAGCTATTTTTTTACAAGAATCCTTTCAAATAGCTTTTTTGAAAACAAGCAGGTTTAGAAAAAGATTATCAATGTACACATGAAAGAAAAACTACATCATTTCACTAATATTTAGTATAGTTTATCAATAGTATATGTGAAAGAAGACCTTTTGAACAGCTTTTTCAAACAAGCAGGTTAAGAAAAAGATTATCAATGTATAAATGAAAGAAAAATAAAGACGGTTAATCTTTACATTATGGTAACTTGGTGTTTTTTTGGCGACCAACTCTCCTACAGCAACTGAACACTTCTTCCAACAATCTACTAGCCGAATTACACTTATGCTAGAAATTTTCTCTAACAAAACTGCTTAATCATGACAAATATTCACTGCAAAACTGGGAAAAAGTGCACAATACCATACTCCTTACGCGTTTTTCAAATAACACATACACATAAACCATGTACAACGCCGACTTATTTTTACTTAAAAAACATCCCAGAATTACACAAAAAAGGCATTGCGCACACTCTTCACTATATCCATGCACACTGCTTTTATCTCATAAATTAGAAAAATTTCACGAAAATACATGAAAATTTTCTGAATCTTTAAACCCGGTAAAAAGAACATATATGAAATTACCTGATCGCGAAAAAATATACCCTTCCAAATATGAAATTTCCACATATAAATAGAATATCCAAATACCTCTCAATCTCTAAATATTATACACGTCACCACGAATTCCTACCGCAAGCATTACAAATACTTAGTGTCAAATATTATTATTTCCATGTACTTCAACTAAACGTATCACATACAAACATAAAATTCACAAATAACTATCATTAATTAAACCTGTACCGTCGACTATTTTACTAAAAAAAAACATCCCAGAATTGCACAAAAGTGGCTTGGCACCCTTCACTATCCATGTAACTTGCTTTTCTCATAAATTAGAAAAATTTCACGAAATGCATACAATTTTCTGAATCTTTAAACCGGTAAAGAAATATGAATTACCTGATCGCGAAAAATATACCCTTCCAATATGAATATTCCCGTAAAAAATAAAATGCCAAAACTTGTCCTCTACTTATCTATTATTACAAACGTCACTAACTAATTCATCCTTTACTTCATTACAAATGGTTACAATACTTAGTGTCAATATTTAAATATTTCCATGCACGTTTACGCAAATTCTTTTCTTCCCTTACATTTAAACAATAAAATAATTCCTCAAATATTAAAAAGTACCACCTATCTTTTCAGAATCTTGATTACGTGGCCGATAAACTTTTCTTATGTTTTCAGGATCTTTAAAATCATACTTAGTTAACACCAAGGACCAGGTAAAATAAATAACTTATAAAACATCTTTACTTCTATCTTCACACTAAAAACACTATTACTATCCTTTTCATAACTAATACCCATTTCGAATTCACTTTTTAGGCCATGGGACCAAAAATAACGAACTGTTTCACACAACACGAATAAAGCAATACCAATTTCCAGATTTTTCCCGATTCCCCCCCTTTCCGATTAAGAACCGTATTCGTCCATTAATACTGAACTATCACATGATCTCTCATTTCCCTCACCAAAAATGCGTAATCGGACGAGTAGCTCACATTATTACCAAAGTCCCAGGTAGTAACCTTTATCGCCTCCAAAATGTCGCCAAACTACCAATTACCATATTGTAAAGATCAGCCATAAAGTCACTTAGCTAATATTTAGTATCTCATAGATTATCAATAGTATATGTGAAAGAAAAAGTCATTTCGCTAATATTTAGTATCTGATATTTACAAATAAAACTTATAAATACAAGTGTCCAAAAACAAACGTGAGGCCCTGTATGTAAAAACTATGGGAATTACATTTTGATGATTTATACAAGATACATTTCAATAATTAAAAGAAACCTGTACATATTTTGTTAAATATTAAGATTGGGTAAGTCAGTTCCTTCTCAGTCACACAATAACAAAATATATTGATCAGTGAATTGATTAACAGTTCATAACAACTTAGCGCAGATTAAAAATTATTTTTATGAAGACTATCTTATTCCCTTTTCACAGAGTGACAGCAATGTAGTACATAATACAGAGGAAAGGAAAATGTGCATGAAAGTACGAGCTAGTACAGTAGCAAAAGCAAAAAACTTGTAACCAAAACTACAGAAACAATTTCCGCAGCAAACTTGATGAAATTTAATTCTAAATTATCCGAATTGGAAGCACATCCGCAGAGAACCTGGTAAATGTAAACATCGCCAACTTTGCCGATAATAATTCAAACCTGGTAACTCATCGGATATATCCCTTGTTCGAAGTATGCAACCACTCCTTTGCGTTTATTTTGTTGAATATCACTGTCTTTGTTCGCATTTGCGGTTTATATTATTCTTCTCTTATTTATTATTAGTTTTCTGTTCTTTAACAACGAATAATAAAATATTTTCGAGATAGATGCCGGTTCTCGGTTCGGATGAAAGGAGGGTGATGCTAATTTGTAACAGGCTGTTCCTTGTGTTTTAATATGAACAGCTCAGAACATGAGTTCCAACGTCTAAAGTAATTTGTTTTCGTACCGCAAAATGTGCATTTTAAATAATTAAGTAATGCTTTTTTTATTATTGGGTATTGTCATCTAAAATTCTGAGAATAAATTAATTTTTATGGCGTAAATTAAACAAGAATATCTTTTATGCTTTTCTAACAATACCTTTCGAGGAGCAGGTGTGACAAATAATGATAAATTGAAATAAAAAAATATTATTGATTATCTAGGATGACAGAATAGTTTGATGCATCCCTGGCCATCAAAATTAGCAACCCTGCTGCAGTAAGGAATATATCTGTGTAACTGGAATTTAAGACAAATTTTTTTATGTCACTTAACCTTAATTTCAGTATATTAATACTAATTTATATTTTTATATGAAGTTTATTTCCGTTTAAATGCTCTTATGCAAATATATTCTTTTCTGTGCTAACTTAATAATACAATTTTCGTATATCACGTTTAACCGGTTCGTTTCTCATGCTTATTATCTGTGAATTTTACTACAATATGCTTAATACATTGTTTTATCTCTACCTTGAATTACATGCACTAAAAATCCACGTTTACGGCTCGGATTATCGTCGATGAACGCGAGTTGGCGAGTAAAAATGCAACGGCGCCAACGGTTCTTTCCCGAAGCGCCAACGGGTTCTTTGCGGATGAAAACCCTCCGAATTATTTATAAAATACGTTTCAACACTTACTTCTATAGTTTCACACAAACCACAAATTATACACCACAATATACATCCGTAACACAAACACATTCAACAAACAGACTACAGCTTTCTGCCCGAAAGGTGAATATGAATGCAACGAATATTATAAGAAATTAGATAGGAAATAGATAATGCTTGATATAATAATATGAATAAATAAATAAATAGAGCTTATTTTAAGTAACAACTATAAATAGAATATAACTTTTCTTAACTAGAGTATAAATTTTCTTTGCGTTGTAGTCAATGAAACTAAAATGAAGGCTATGGAATTATTCGTTAATGTTATTGAAACACAAAATACAGGCTTCTCAAATAAGGGTAAGGCTCCTATATTAGAGGAGCCTTAAATAAGGGGTCTTGGACACCGGTTGAGATCGATATCGGAAAACCAGTCGGGATTCTCTTTCCGCTCGATAGCAGAAGAGAGAGTGAATCTGGCCTCTTCAAATTCCGTCGGCGGAAAATGAAGTGGAAATTCCGTCCGGAAGTGACGTTTATTGCATAGCAACCAGTCTACCTCACCTCTACATTGCTCCAGGCTCAGGGGAAGGGGGTAATTTGTTGTCAAAGGGGCCGTTTTATTACTGAGGATGGCTGTAGAAAAAAAAATCAAGTTCGAGTAAATGGTGAAATTTTTCGAAAAAATACGCT